AAAAGTAGATAATAGCAGTAACTATAGCTCACAAGTACTTGTTCACAAGATGCAGAAGATTTAAATAGATAACCCTCTAGTTAGGTTATAGGTATAGCATCTAATATAGAACCTATAGTATACTTTCTATATGCAGGTTACTTAAATAGGCAACCAAAAGTTGTATATGTAGCTAGTTATACTCTTCAAAAATATATATAATATAGTGTATACCATATTATAATAATTGAATAAAAGAAAAGTGACTAAGAGGTCACTTTAACATCAAAAAAAATAAAATTTTATAAATAAAATTTAGACAAAATTTGTTTTTTTAAACTTATTTAATAATAAAAAAGTTAGTATAATTTCTATCTAACAAATTTCTAACATTTGAAGGTTCTTTCTATAAAATTTTATAGGTGATTAAATATAAAACCCAAAAAAATCTTGACTATGAAATTATATAATTTTTATATAATACTTGTTATTTATCCAATTAAATTTATATAATTGAATATTTATTATTGCCTATTTTGAGGCTGTCTAAAGCTGTGTACAGTCACATTCACAGAGCCAATAAAATTGTTTGTTTTGATCAATATAAATTAGCCGATAAAGAAAAAAAAGTGAAAATTGTCAATTTTCTATTTTTTAAACTGTTACTTCTGCAAATCTGCTTTAAATTTTTTAAAAAAATTTGGTTTTACCAATATATTATAATCATTTATCAGAATATAATGCCTTTGATACTATTTGATTCATATTGACAAGGTGATTTTAATGGTGACAAAACTAGAAAAATTCTAATCACTAGATAAAGAGATATTTAAAAAAACAATTTGCAATGCAGCTCTACAGAAATTTGTTTTCTGTGACACAGTTAATTTTTGAAAATATCTCACAATCTAATGAACTGGATTTAACATTTTTGATATCATTCAATCTGTCTCATCAAGGCAAATTGAATGGTATCAAAATTATTAAATTCTAATCACTAGATCATAATGTAGTAACATTTAAATAATATTTATCCTTAAACCGTTTTTCCTGCAAATTTGCCCAAACGTTGAATTTTTGATTGGCAATCCACGTATCTTATAAATTAATAACATTTTCAGACTCATTTATGACGTATTGTATCGTTTATAGTATTATTTTTGTATATTTGCAATACCGTGATTATTGCAAAATTTCAGGTCAAATCTACTACTAACCTGAATTTAAAACGGTTAAAGAGATAAGGCCTACCCTCACTCTAACTCTACATTAACACTTACCCTAACTTTAATTAAAAAGTCAAAAACATATGACTGCACACGGCTTTAGACGTAACCCTATTTTGAGGTCGGTTGAAGCGAAGGGAATTCAATATATAATCTACACACTGCATTCTTGATCTCTATATGACCCGCTAACACTAACTGCATCAAAAAGGTAATCCTAAACCTCGCTTCGCTTTAATCGACCCACTATTTTGGATGTTTTTTGGGTAAACGACATATATCACTTATAAACAAATAGGCTAACTTCATGATCAAGATTCTTATGGGGTTTATTTTTAACCACCCTGAAATTTTATGGAAAGAAGCTTCAAAATGCCAGAGGTTTGCAAAATGATACCCGACAAATTTCTTTATTGTTAAATAAACCTAGAAAGCAAATTTCGCGATTATTTGATCTATTAAAAATTTTTACTTAACAAATCCTATAGGCTAAACCTAACGTCAAACATCCTCTCATCTAACTTCCGAATTACCTCGGGTTTTACCGAATTACGTTGATAGAAATAAGTAAAGCTTGAACTTTTGAATTTTATTTGTCTTACCTTCGCCCGATTCATATTCGTGGCACCGGATCTATTCTTGTGGCAGCAAATCATTACTTTAATAAGATTTCAAATCAACAAATCATAATAAAGCTATTTCATCAATTGGATCAATTGGACCAATTGGACATATGTCCAATTGGCCCAATCAATGAGTCCAATTAGTCAAATTGACAACAATGATGTCGATAAATTTATTATGAATGAATAAACGGTTGTTGTGCATGTTATAACCAAATGCATATGTAAACTTCAGAGTTGAATAAAGTACCGTATAGTTCCAAAAATAGGCGCCCTTCTTTTATTATAAGGTGCTTATTTTCTGGGTACTTAATTTTGGAATTACACGGTGTTTTTATTTTTTAAAAAAAAGAAAAGAAAAATAATGGAATGACTTTAATTTTAAACAGATATTCTAGTCGGGAAAGGGTGACTTAAAAAATGAGAAATTTTCTGAACCCTCTATCTACAGTAACCAAAGAAAAGAATTTTGCACGTTTACACAATTCAAGAAAATAGATACATGTGTGCATATTTAATTGTTGTATATGAATAGCCACCTACGTATATACTGCATGCATGAAGATCTAATTTGAGGGCTTAATTTTAGTCAGATGCTACTGTACTTAATATATTTGATCACTTTAGATGCGACCTAATTTTTTGGTAATTTTATGAATAGCAAATAAATAAAGGAGAACAAGGCCGGAAAGATTTTATTTTTTTTAAGCCGGAAAAAAATATAACACAGTTTTATTTATATTTCATAACACTTAATCGGAGCATATGAATAATATTTAAATACCATTGCATCTTGTCGGTTCTGGTGAAATAACTTCTTTCATGCTGGCAGTCATTTAATTTCTTACCATTTTTTCTCTTACAACAGATTTTATCATTTATTTCGACATAACCCTTACCACTAAATAATGGATTTGACGGGTTCACCAAAAATCCTACAGATGTAATTGACAATGTAAGCGGTAAAATTGACGACATTACCAATTCGGCTAATAAAGTCGACAACGTTAGTTCAGTTGACAATAGTACGAAAATCGATAATAGTAACAAAGTTAATAATGGTAACAATGTTGATAGTATTAAAAAAGTTGAGAATGCCAATATACATGATGTCAAAATTGATAAAGTCGATAATGTAAAATCTGTTAATGTCGATAGTGTTAAACCTGATGAAGTTAAGAACGATAATTTGGTCAAAATCGATGATAAAACCGACAATGTCAAAGTCGATGTTACTAAACCTGATAATTTCAAAACAAATATTGATAATATTGTAGATAATGGTACTCGAATTTCCAATGAAATGCCTAATTTACCGGATGTAAAGGATGATATAGCCAGCCCAGTTAACCATGAAACCAGCCAAATTGATAAAATATATCTATTATAATACCAGATGAAGTCAACATTACATCTAGTATACCTAATGCTGTTATCAATAAATCAAATAATGTACCCACAGTATCAATGCAAATGTACCTGTAAAAGAACCTAGAATTATATCCGATACAGTCAACAAGAATTTTTATCCTGTTAACAATACAGTCGATAATATAGGAAACGATATTCCTCCTGCAAATACACTACCTATCAGCAACCCACAACTAAGTAGCAACCCACTAGATAAAAATCCACACTCTAATAACGATCCACTAGCTAAAAATCCACAATCTAATAGCGACCCACTAACTGAAGATCCACAATTTAAGACCACAATTTATTTATATGCAGAACTCATACAATTCTTTACAAACGTCATTTAAATAAAAGATAATAGAAACATAAAAAAGAATGTATATATCAATTGAATCAAATTACTTATTATTAAATAATACAAAATTGTAAATAATTATTATAAAATCCAGAATAAAAGAAAAAAAGAAATGAAAAAATTTTTTATTGACAAAATTATAATCTTCTATGTATTATTCTTGCCATTCTAGTTGTCCAACTTAATTCACTCGAACTTTGTGAATCAACATCATCATCATGATGATGATGATGAAAAGAGTAAGGTTCTATAATGTCAACTTCTTTAAATTCATTATTATTTGGTATATTCAATTGATTTTTCTTAAGGACATCAACTTTCATTTTACTAAATGTAGTTTTTTTTACTATAAAAAGTACTACAAGTGCTGCAACTATAACTGCAAGAATTGTTCCAATTATTGCTGTTGAATGGGGTGGCAAATTTATATCATGAATCGTGTCATTAGGAGTTGGAGGTAAATGAGGTTGAATAGTGGCAATTGGTTGGTCGTTGTATGGTATTGGACTTATTACTCCGGTATCAATAGTTATGGATTTCGATTCTTGTCATTGGAGATTAA